TCCTCCTGCTCCTCCTTCTCCTCCTCCTCCTCCTCCTCATCATCATCATCATCATCATCATCATCATCATCATCATCATGATCGTCATCCTCATCCTCATCCTCTCCTGCTCCTCCTCCTTCTGCTCCTCCTCCTCTTCCTCTTCTGCTCCTCCTCCTCCTCCTCGGCCTCCTCCTTCTCATCCGCCTCCTTCTTCTCGGTTTCTTGTTCTTCTTCACTTCGTAGTATTCTAATTCGTATCATTCGTATTACATGTTCGTCTTACTATTCTTCTTATTTTCTCCTCTGCCGAATCAAGTGTGTGCTGCGGCTGTAGTCAGTTCCGCTTTAGCCGCCCAGACCATAGGAGGCCGAGTCACGCAGGGGAAGTCTCCGTCGCGTGAGCCGTTGGCTTCACACAGTAGTCTCTTTGGACGGATTGACAGCAAGTGAAACAATTTCTCTTCGCCCAGGGACGCTCGCTGCTCTGTCAAGTGGCATGATGTACTGAGTGGGCGGTACCGTGGAGATATGACCTTTCCGGAGAGTTGATGCACGAACTTTCTTGAGGTCCATGGGGGGTTCATCGATAATATGGGATTTGCAGCATAATTGAGTATTGGACCACAGCAGCATCTGACACACCTCGACCGCTCTTTTCAAATGTTCTCCATTGCCATCCCTGAAACCGGCATTCTTGGCGCAGCGCAAACAATCTTGAGCATGCGCGTGTGTGCGCCCGCGCACGCGTGCGCACGCGCACGCGCATGCGAAGTTAGTCGCGTGTGCCCACGGGCACCCGTTAGTACCAGTAGCATAGAAAACGCACACAGTGGCGACGCGAACACCCCAGAGGCTCAGGGGCACAGCGTTCCAGGAATGTTGGACGGAGGGGCAGTGAGCGCCCCGCTGCCGGGCCGCTATGGCTGCGCCCCGCTGTCAGAGCGAGCGGCGCCCCAGGACATGCTCGGGAAGCGGAGCAAACACGTTCGCGCGGAAGTTGCCTGCCGCTGCGGCGCTCGCGCAGGCTGTCGCGCAAGGTCGCCCCATGCCATCAGGCATATAAGACTTGAGGCCCTCTTCCTCGTCGTCACCCACTCGCCCGCCTGCGCCGACCCTGGCCAGGGTCGGTGAATACAGTGGAGACCCATGCCACGAAATACCCTGGTTGCCTCCAGGGTGCCCTGGGTTGCTTGGGTCTCGACGGTTTTGCGATGGTCAGCGTGACGTTCCCACACCAAAAATCAATAGACGGCCTGGGGTCTCAGGGTTGGTTTTCTTGTGGAAGGTTTCTTGCGGTCGAGCTCCTACTGTATCCACCGATCCTGTGCACATCCAGAACCTGGACACACGACCTGGCCAGCGCCGACGAGGGCTGGCTACACAATGTGGCCGCAGGTCTTTCAGGCGCTCGGTCCTCGTGCAGCCGGGCACCATGGCCCTCCACACTCCGCACGGTGAGGATATAGCACATGTTGCATGATCTCGTAGAAGAAAGACGCCATAAGCATAACCTTTTGGCGCTCCACGAGGAGTTCTTGGATCCGCGCTCGGCCCCCCTGGCGGCGCCCTTGGCGCAGCCCCTGGCCCGCTCCGCGCGCCAGGGAGTGAGGTCCAGCACAGATCCAAGAAATCCGCGCGGAGCGCCACAAGTTCATGCTTATACCGCTTTCATTCCCAACCATCCTGTTTTGGGTCTTCGTTTTGAAGAGACGGTCCCCGCGTTCACTCTCTCCTCCCGCTGCCCCGTCCTCCCTCCTCCCTCTTTCCATATGCGCCCCTGCCCTCCGCATGTCTTTGTTTCGGCGCACACCGTGCAACGGTTCGTGACCCCGTAGGGAGCTCCACCGAAGGCCCCAGCGGCAGGGTCCACATGGCGGTGCCGCCTCATTTTGGCCCGCCCCTCACACGGTTCGTGGCCCCATAGGGAGATCCACCGAAGGCCCTAGCGGCAGTGTCCACATGGCGGCGCCGCCCTATTTTGGTGCACCCCTCACGCGGTTCGTGGCCCAATAGGGAGTTCCGCCGAAGGCCCAAGTAGCAGGGTCCACATGGCGGTACCGCCTCATTTTGGCGCACTTGACATGGTGCGTGGCCCCATGGGGAGCTCCACCGAAGGCCCCAGCGGCAGGGTCCACATGGCGTCGCCGCCTCATTTTGGCGCACACCTCACACGGTGCGTGGCCCCATGGCGCACCCCAGTGGCGCCATGGGGAGTTCCACCGAAGGCCCCTGTGGAGGAGTTTGCACGGTGGCGACGCCTCATTTTGGCGCAACTTTCACACGGTTCGTGGCCCCATGGGGAGTTCCACCGGAGGCCCCAGCGGCAGGGTCCACATGGCGGCGCCGCCCCATTTTGGCGCACCCTTCACACGGCTAGTGGCTCATGGGGAGTTCCACCGTGGGCCCCAGCAGCAGAGTCCCAACGGCGGCGCCGCCCCACTTTGGCGCACCCCTCACACGGTGCGTGGCCCCATGGGGAGCTCCAACGAAGGCCCCAGCAGCAGGGTCCACATGGCGGCGCCGCCCCAGTTTGGCGCACCCCTCACACCGCCCGTGGCCCCATGGGAAGCTCCATTGAAGGCCCCAGCGGCAGGGTCCACATGGCGGCGCCGCCCCATGTTGGCGCACTCCTCACGCGGTTCGTGGCCCAGCGGGCAGCACCACCGAAGGCTTTAGCAGCAGGGTCCACATGGCGTCGACGCTCCATTTTGGTGCACCCTTCACACGTTTCGTGGCCCCATAGGGAGTTCCACCGAAGGCCCCAGTGGCGGAGTTCGCACGGCGGCGCCGCCCCATGTTGGCGCACTCTTCACGCGGGTCGTGGCCCCATCGGGAGCTCCACCGAAAGCGGCGCCACAACATGGTATTCGCATTCGCACCTGGTTTAGTCCTTTGCCAGGATATCTGTTATCATTTGCATCATCTTTTGGCCAGATCCTGGGACGCGCAGGGGATGGAAGCGCTCGCCTTCCACGCATTCGCCCCTCCGAATGTTGAAGACGTCGGGAGCACCATAGCCGTCGCCCCTGCAGACGGACATGGGAGTGGGGTGCTGCCCTGGGTTTGAGACTTAACAGCGGTGACAGACGCTTCTCGAAGGCGCTGTTCTTTTGTATGTGATTTGATCCAGTTGCCTGTGGCAGATCCGACACGATGCCTGGGAGACACTATTTGGCAAGCATTCGAGCACCACCCAGACGGTCGTCACATGTGACACCTCTCGTTTCCTTTTCCTGCGGAGTTCTGATGGGGCCTAGTTGGGCCGTCACGAGGTTGTCTTGGGCTTGTGTGGGAAAGTCGTGGGGATCCCTTGGGGCCCTCTTGGGCCGTCTTGGGGCGTTCTTGGCTGTCTGGGGAGGTCTCTTTGGGCCGTCGTGCGGCCTTCTTGTGAAGTCTAGGGGCTGTCTTAGGCTGTCTTCGGTCCCTCCAGGGGCCTCTTGCGCCAGCTTGGGGCTCCCATGCGGCCGTCTAGGGGCAATCCCGGGGCTCTCCGTGCACTGGGCGGAAACGCGTGCAGTCACAGACCGACTCGGGTGAGCTGGCCCAAGGTGCTCACACCCACAGCTGAAGCCGAAGCCAAAGTTGAAGTGCACAGAAAACGGAATGGTCCACCCTGCAAGCTCGGAAACAGCACATCGTGGAGCCGTGCGGCAGCCTCCCCTGAGCACAGGCGCACGGGCTTTCCAGGGGCTGCCAAAGGCAAATGGGCTCCTGACCCAAGGCGTCCACCGCTTTTCGCGCCACTCTGGTGCCCCCTGGGGTCCTCTGGGCCTCGTGGGGTGTGCTCTGGGGACACTCTTGAAGACACAATCCGCTCACCATGGACCTCGGGAGCCCTCTCAGGGCCCACCATCTTTGTACAGATGAGATGTGTCATGCCGGCACGATGTTTGAAGGTCTTGGCACTCCCCAAAGCAGGGCGTTCAGAGCCCGAGCACCGCATCACAGTTCTTCGAGCAGCGAGCTTCGAAGCTCGGGCCAGGGACGCCCTTTGGCAACGTTATGCGAGCGCTGCAGCCGTCGCCCCGGCTCGGCGCGGGCGGGCGCAGGCAAGGCGCTGAAGTGGTTCGACGCTACCCGGTGGCTCCCCAGCGGAGCGCCCAGGTGCCATGCTTGCTCCATCGGGGTGATAGCCTGGGACGCTGCCGGCCACGCGTCGAACGGGGCACGAGGAGGGGGGAGGGCTTCTTGGAAGCACCCCTGCTTCTTAGAAGACGTGGGCCTTCTCTACAGATGTAGGGCCGCCGCCTTCTGAAAAGCGGCCTCCTTCTATATCGGGGGAACGTAAGACTCGAGTGCGCCAGAGCTCGGGTTTGCCGACGCTTTTTGACGAGCGCGTCCTGCACTTTGACGGTCCAGTTTTCGTGGGATGTTTGCAGCGGGAGCTCACGTCAAATTTCAGATTGAGTCTCGTCATTTTCTTGACGGCCTCGCCAGGCCAACCCGAGTCCCCCGTACCCGAGTCTTACGTCTCCCCAATTCTGAGAAGCCCCCCCCATTCCCATACCCCCTAGTTCGCGCTGCCAATGGAAGGATAGGGATCGGAGGTGTCCAACCCAGCGTTTCGCCTGAGAGGTCTCAGCGATCTGGCCGCGACCGGGCAAGCGGCTCCCCCCTCGGGGCTTTGGGGCGCCACAGTGATATGTTTGCTGCATCGCGGTGGTCATGAGGTCCTGACAGGGGAGGAGGCAGCGGTGCCAAAAAATATCGCCCGAGACATTCCCGCAATCTTGCTGGGAGCGGGCAAGCACAACACCCTCTGCCGGCTCCTCTCTGGGGCGGGTGATCATCAGGCAAATTCAACACCTGCTGGCGGAGACTCCACGGGGTGGCTGAGCAAATGCCTGCCATATCGCGGCGACCATGCAGCTCTCAACAGGGAGGAGTCGGGGACGTCGAACCAGCGAACCGCTGGACGGATTCTGGAACCTTGGCGCGGACGGGCCAGTGCCCCCCCCCCCTCGGGCGGCTCCTCCATGGGGTCCCCACCGCTACGCTGGTTATATCGCGGTGGTCCTGCAGCCTTTCAACAGGCAAGGAGTTAGGGACGCCAAGCGGGCGAACCGCTCGAGACAACCCCACACTTTTGCAGCGAACGGGTTAGAGTCCCCCTCCTCCCTGGCAACTCATCCTTAGGGCGCCCGAGTCCCATGCCTGCTACATCGAGGTGACATCGCGACTGAGTGTGGTTCTGAGTGAGTCCCAGCATGACTGGAGCTGAGGGCGAATGAGTCTCAGCGCAGGTGGATCGAAGCGTGAGTGAGTGCGAGGGTGAGTGAGCCTGAGTGTGCGAGGGAGGCAGGCCGGGCGCTTCTGGTGCCAAGCGGGCGCTTCGCCTCTCTCGTTTTGCACGCCTTCTCGTAGCAGCTCGATGGCGGCCTCCTCCTCCTCCTCCTCATCCTGTTGCTGCTCCTCCTCCTCTTGCTGCTCCTTTTCCTCCTAATCCTCCTCCCCCTTCTCCTCCCCCTCCTCCCCCTCCTCCTTCTCCTCCTCCTCCTCCTCCTCCTGCCCCTCCTCCCCCTCCTCCTCCCCCTCCCCCTCTCCTCCTCCCCCTCCTCCACCTCCTCCCCCCCTCCTCCAACTGCATCTCTCTCGACCCCCCCCCCTTTAGGACTGGCTGGCGCGGCACCCCGCGGGCGCCGAGGCCGCGCACGCGGCAGCCATCCAGGCAGGGCGGGGGGGCCGTGAAATCGAAGGAGAGAAAGCGTTCGAAACAGAAATGTTTATGCTTATGCTTTTGCTTGTTATAGTATTAGTATTTTGTTTGTTATTATTATTCGTCTTCTTGTCAGTATTGTTAGTAGCATTCATATTATTATTTTTCTTATTCTTACGATTATTATTATTATTATTAGTATTATTATTAGTATTATTATTAGTATTAATCTTCGTCTTTTTTTTTCTAGAGAGAACTGCGTGTTTTCAGACGTCGAGTTCGACTTCCAAGCAAACGCGATTATCTCAGTTCAGGTGCTCGCTGTGTGAGCACGAGGAAGGATGCAGAGGGGACGGGTTAGTCGTCGTCATGATCTGCACAATTGCACGTTCGTTCTGACACATGCGCCGGCCCGTCAGAAAGCCTTCTTGCGTAACAATGGGACCCCCTGCTCCTCGAACCCCTCCGCCCTGCGAGATACGGTGCACCCCTCCTGCTCCCCTCGATGCGGCACGGGGGCTGCCTCGGCGAGGAGGGAAACAAGCTGTGTGTTATGTGAAGTCGAGTTCGACTTTCCCACACACACAAAATGTTCTAAGAGCTCCTTCCGCAGACGGCACCTGCAACGACCGCCATGCATGGCCAGGGCGATGCTGGGCACGAGGACGGTTCGTCCACGCGAGAGAGTGGCCATTCTCAGAGTTACCTTAATTTTGGGTGCGGGCCCACAGGGGCTCTCCGGGCCCACAGGGGCTCTCCAGCACTGGCTTGCGCGCTTGGCTTTGGCCTCCCCGTGGCAGCCCTGGAGCCGCGCAAGAGCCTCTCTTGCGTGTTGCCGACTGGTGAATCGTAGACCCGCCTGGCTGCGGCCAGGATGGTGTACGGCAGGTTCACGTCCCTTCGACGCGGCGGCGACCCCGGCGCGGGCGTTCCAGGGGCCTGGGCGTGGCCAGCATCGAACCATCTGCGCTGTCGCCAAGCCGCACTCGACCAAGGTTGAACGACCCACGCGGCGTCAAAAGCCAACGCCCGAGCGACACAACGCCAGGGCCCAGGATGACCCTGGCCAGGCACGGAGGTGGTGCACGGGGAGGCTGGAGACACATGATATGCGGGCCGGGCCCGGTGGTGTTGCACGCTCTGGGCTTCCGGCTGTCTTTCTGCCGCCGGGCCACACCGATCTTGAGAAAGGGTAGTGCAACCCCTCGGAGTAACCATCCGCTCGTGCTTCATTCCCAGAGCCCCGCGCTCGCCCGCCAAGGCCTTGCGGATCCCGCCCCGGGGCGCGGTCTCCGTTTGTGGCACTGTTTTGCGACCTCCCGCGCGAGCGCGATTTCCCCCTGCTCGAACAGCTGTGCCCGCAGTGATTCCAGCCTTTCGCGGTGTTCGGCCTCCCCGCGCAGGTGCCCTCCGCGTGCTCCCGCCCAGTGGTCTCTCGTCTTGCCTCGCGCCGCCCCCTTGGGCCTTGCCCCCCATCGAGGTTTAAGTCGGGCAGGTCCCTCTTCAGGAGGAATGGTTATTCAAACATCGGAGGTCCCTCTACAGGAGGTCCCTCTACAGTCGGGCAAGTCGGGCAGGTCCCTCTGTGTATGATTTCCTATTCTTTATTTTTCTGTATCTTGTTTGGCTATTTTCCATTTGCTTCCAAATTCCGCCTGTAGGGGGACATGCCCGACCTATATGGAAGCCCAATACGCATCCACGATGCTGCAACAGGCCTTCCCTGAGTTCCCTCTCCATTGGCCCAACAAGAGTAACACTCATTGCGGGAAGAGTGCCGCATTTGAAGACAACCGTCCGAAAATCATCAACCGCTTCAAACTCGCATTCATGGGACTTCCGCTCCACGAATCAACGTGACTGCTCCGTCTTGACGATCCCAAACCGCATCAGAGCGCCATTCTTGGGAATCAACACCGCGAGTCAACATGATTGCTGGGTACTGTCAGTCTTAAAAAGTGCCAGAGCGCCATCTTTGGGACTGCAGCCATTCGAAGATTTGAAGCTGTGGCAAGCTTCCAAGACGAATGTGCGCGGCACTGAAATGACAGCCACATTTCGAAAAGGAACCGCCCTGCATCCTTGAAGCTGCTGCGAAATTGTGAGACGAATGCGCCCCGCGCTAAGGAGAGAGCCATACATTGAAAACGGCCCGCCCCTTCATCCTAGGAGCTGTTGCAATCTATGAAAAGGAACGTGCGCAGCGCCTAGGCGGGAGCCACACTTTGAAAACGCCCCGCCACACCATCCTTACAACGTCTGCACACGTTTCAGACGAATACGCGCAGCGCCAAGGCGAGATCCACGTGTTGAAAACAACTCGCCTTCCACCTCGGAACTGTTGCCATGTCCAAGCTTCAGGACCACAACTATTGAGGAAGTCTCGGGCGACATGCCTGGCCCGCCCTACCAACACGTCTTGGGGGCGCGGCAGGGATGAGTTAGTTGAAAGCAAAGGGGGGGGGGCATGTGGGGGCAGGAGGGTAGGGGGGGGAACTAAAGGCAGGTCTGAAGAGCACGAACCTCAATGGTTCAGTTGCTGCCCGTGTTTTAAGGGCTGTGGACCTCTGCGAGTTCCGACAGTACCTCACACACCATGCGTGCGCGACGCGTTACTTGCATTGTGCACAATTGGTCGTGCGACAACGTCTCGCTTGCCTTGGCTGCGTCGTCTTGCTTCGCTGCGAGGCGGTCCTCGCAAAGAGGGACAAGGAATTCCGCAGCATGAATCTCTCTCTCTCTCTCTCTTGCTCTCTCTCTCTCTCTATCTCTCTCCTGTTCGTGTTCTCTACCTCTCCCTCTCTCGCTCTCTCTCTCTCTCTCCACTGTTGCCTGTGCCGCTGTTATGAGCCATCAGCTATCTTGTTGTGCTGCCTATGTTGATTTCCTACTGGACGCGCATGCTTTCGGACCGATTCGAGGCTTCAGTGTTTCATACCTTTCTCGACGTGCATGTGTGATTATGTGGCGGTGCGCCCAGCCGTGAGGTTCGCTTGGGAGGGCATGGCGTCGTTGTGCCCACTGCTACTGCTCTACATCCCTCCAGCTCCAATTGCTGCTGGCGGCTGGCGCAGATGCGGGGCGCGTCGGTGCAATGGGAGGGGAAACGTGTCGCGGGTGTCGTGTGGTGGTGTCATGTTGTGTCGTGTCGTGTTGTCGCAACGCAACACGGTGTCGTGCAGTCTCTCGGTGTCGTGTGGGCGGCGGGGCGAAAAAATGTGATGGTCGTGTTGTTGTCGAGCTGTGTCGTGATGCCGTATCGTGCTGTCAACGGTGCCGTGCCGTAGTGTCGTGTCGTCGAGTCATCCTTTCGTGTCGAGGTGTCGGCGACATTGCGCTTCTGATATGTTGTGGTAGAGCATGATACACAGTTGGATATGAAGTTGAATCGACCGATCAAGGTAATGATTCAGTTGCAGAAGCGAGTGCTAAAGTAAACCCGAGGCGAATGTTGACGCGCCGTCTAAAGCTCACGCTGAAGTTAAAATCGAGCAATACAGCTCGAACTTGAGCGACAGCTAACAGCGTAGAGGAAGCATACGTTGGTGGCCTCGCGAGGCTAGATCAGCGGCCGATTCGAAAGCAAAAACTTAAGCCACATGTGCAGTTGTAGGTGACGCGATAGCCAACATGTGAACCACAGCAAGCAGCAAGTGATAGCGAAAGTGATATTGATTTTCGAAGTGAAACTCGGAAGGCTTCAGCCGCGCGATAGACATTCCCAGCCCCCGAACTATTTCCTTTCAGCACGTGGACCGTACAGGTACTCCCAACCTGGCAGAGCTTGGTAAAGATAGCGAGTACCGAGCTCCGCGTGAAACAGCGTGTGTGGTGCTCATCGAGCGGATTGCCGCGTGTGGCGGCGATTCGTGGAATAAGCAGCGACAGCGCATCGGCCAGTTGGGCGGCAATTGATGGAACAAATGTGGAGTGCCACTTTTGGTTCGGGCGTTACCGTTTGGAGTTGAATCTGCGCACACCCCGTGCTCCCCAGAGAGTGCTTGACCAGCAATTGGATTGATCCGCCGGCATTTCGGCTGATGCCCGGTTGGTGGCCGGTCGTGGGTGCTTCGTGGGCGCCCCGTGCGTTTGGTGGGTCCGCCAGGTTTTCGCCTGGTGCCCGATTGGTGGTCGGTCGTGGGCGCCTCGTGAGCGCCCCGTGCGGTTGGTGGGTCCGCCGAGGCTCCCCGTTCGCCGGGTGGCACCATCGAGGTTTCACCTGGTGCGCAGTTGGTGGCCGGTCGTGGGCGCCTCGTGGGCGCCCCGTGCGATGGCAGGGCCCGCGGACGTTTCACTTGGTGGGTGCCCGTTGGCGCTGTAGATTGCACCACGTAGCCTGCACCATAGACTCCGCTGTAGATTGCACCACGTAGCCTGCACCATAGACTGCACCACGTAGGCTGCACAACACAGCGCGCACCAGACAGATTGCACCACAGCTTGCGCCGCTTAGACTGTGCCACATGGCTTGCAGCACGTAGGTTGCACCACATAGCCTGCAGCACATGTATTACATCGCGTGGCTTGCAACTCATAGGTAACACCGCGTGGATTGCACAGGGAGCGCACCACAGTTCATATGCACGCAGGGTGAAACAAAGCACTGCTTGGGATCCACGCTGGCAAACATGGGAAGATCATGGATCAACCAAAGAATACACTGCTTCGGAGTCACATTCGAACCCATCGGTAGCACGTTTGGCATGCGGCTAGAGATTTCCATTCAGGAGTATAGTTGGGGCATCATCAACGCTATCGACTACTATATCCTTGAGCCGATATTGAACGGCATCTACTTTGTGGAGGAGGTGGACCCCGCCGCATCTGCATTGAATTGTTTAAGAGCAAAAGCCATGCAGCCCAGGCAAGCGTGAGCGGTGCGATGTGGACATGTGCGTTTCAGCGCGTACTCGATTCAGCCACGTTGGAAGAGCAAGTGGTCCACCGCTTGACGAGTGACGAGTCTAACATACACAGGAATATTTGTATGTTCCAGTTTCTCGCGTGCCCTCAGCATGAACATGCACCACTGCATTTGTTTCTCTCGGGCCGACCTCTCCTGTGGCAGGGGCCTTCGCTGGCCTCATGTGGATTGGACACAAAATTTTGCGAAACACTTCCGCGGGATGGGATTTCTTTATGGGGCGTTCTTCTCAGATTCGCGTCTTTCGGGTTACAAGTAAGACCACCAGGAGGCCAACCTTGGCATCAGAGGCACCTAAAGCTAAGGCGTGCGAATAAGGACAAGTGGGCTCCGAAGGGGCTTGGGGCTCCTAGGTCAGTTCTTGGGTGTGTTGTCGGGCGCTCCTTGCCATCTCGGCGCAACTGCTGCAAACAAAGGGATTATGATCTCGCTTTGGCTCCCGATCTCAAATCCCGAAGTACAATGTTTATATACACACAGTTTGTGGGAAACTTACGGGCCCCCCATCCTCCAAGAGGCCACTGCGTCTGGAGCAGGAGACCTTCGAGAAAACCATCGACCCCCCACTCCCCGAAAGCCCCCTGAGAACAGCACCCGCGCTGCTCCGCCGCCGCCAATCCCAGCCAGGCCCTGTCTTCGCACCGCAGTCGTCCACTGTTAGATGCAGGCAAGACTTGTGTCCGTCTGCAGCTTGGAGTTTCGGGCTCCCTTCCCCTCGATTCTGATCCATCTCCAGTGCGCCTCGGCCTTGCCGCGCCCTTTCAGAGAAAGTCCACGACGCACTGGATATGGATATATTGCCCGCAATTGGAGGCAACGATGGGGGGGGGGACTGGCTGTCGGGGGGTCACCGGCCCCCCTCGGCCCCCAGTCGATCGGGAGCCTTGAGACGGGGGTCAATGCAAACGGGGGTCAGCCAGAGCGCCTGATCTTGCAGGATTCTGCAGGGCCAGGGTCGCATTGACCTGGGCTTAGGTGCAGGATCCCGCAGGATCTTGCAGGATCCTTCGCGTTGACCCGTGTTTGGGTGCAGGACCTTGCAGGATTCTGCAAGGCTGCAAGGCCTGATTGACCCGGGTCTGGATGCCGATGGATGCTAGGGGGGTCCACTGCCTGTCTTGCATGGGCGGCGGCGAGACGACCGACACCCATAACACCATCCGGGACGTCTTCGAGGAAAATTGCCACAGAGGCGGCTTGCGCCCAGTGTCAGAGGCGAGAGGGCTGCTCTAGGAGGACCCCCAGGAGCATGACGAGCGCAGGCCTGCCGATGCCTTGGTCATCCCGCACCCTGCCCTCGCCACGGCACTCCCAGACGGCAGCCGGGCAGTGCACGCGGAGCGAGTCTGCTTTGACTTCGCCGTGGTCAATGCCCTGGGGCCATGCCACTGGGCCGACACTGCCTTGGCGGCAGGTCTCCTTTCCGAGACGTACGACCAGGACAAGCGCAGGCGCAACCAGACGGAGGAGCGCTGCCGCGCCCACGGGTTGGCTTTCCGGCCAGTGGCCTTCGAGCAGCAGGGCGGCATGAGCAAGGGTGCGGACTTGGCCTTCCGGGCGGTCGCGGCGACAGTGGCACAAAAGGAGGGGCTGGAGCCAGCCGCAGTGCGGCGCGAGATGTTGCAACGAGTTGTCGTCTTGCTGGCCAGGGGCTGCGCTACGAGGCTCGCGTGGCGGCGGGCCCGGGTGCACAGAGGCAGGGCAGAATGGCGGGCAGCAGTTGTCGCTGTGCAGCGGCACGTCGACGAAGACTGGGGGTGAGCGTGGCGCGCGCTGCCCGGGGGACCCCAGCCCATCCTCGGAGCGGTATCCTTTGTGTTGTTGCCCTGTTTTCCCCTCCTCCTCTTCCTCCTCCTCCTCCTCCTCCTACTCCTCCTCCTCCTCCTCCTCCTCCTCCTCCTCCTCCTCCTCCTCCTCCTCCTCTTCCTCCTCTTCCTCCTCCTCCTCCTCCTTCTCCCGCGCCTCCCCTTGTTGCTGGGCGCGCTGGTCTATCGTGATTCCGCCGCCCACGGCACCGCAAACGCGGCCAGGATCCGCACGGCCACGCTGTCTTTCTGTTTTTTGTTTCCGGCCTGGGTCAGGGGCAGCGGCTCGCATTTCTGGAAAGGCATCGCATTTTGACTTAACCCCCGGCCCTCCCGCCCCGTGGTCCCTCAGCAACCCGCCTGGTCGACTGTGCCGCCTGGGCCCGCGCGATCTCAGCTGGCCCATCTGGCCGCGCCATGTGTTGTGTCATGTGCTGTTGCGTATCCTTTATTTGGGGTATCGGTTGCGCTTCATTGACCCGGGCCAGAAGATCTCCGAGTCGGCCCCCAAGTCGCCGATTCTCCTCGCCGGCGTGGGGCATCTGCCGAACCACCCCTCCCAGGAAAGCGTGCGGTGTTTGGCTCTCGGGGCCTGCCGCCGACACTTCGGCGACGCCTCCCCGATGCCAGGTCGGTGTCCCCCCTCCCCCACCCCCCGAGCGCTTCCCCCTCCCTGGAGGGTTTCTCCGAAGGGCTTAGGCGACCCGTCCTCCTCCTCCCTCCTCGCCCTCCTCCTCCTCCTCCTCCTCCTCCTCCTCCTTTTCCTCCTCCTCCTCCCTCCCCATCCTCCCTTCCATCTCCTCCTCCGGAAAGCGGGAGGGACAGGAGGATCACGAGGAGGGACAGGATGGACGCTGGAGCAGCGTGGCGGAGCGCCCGCGCACTCCCTTCGCCAGGCGATCGACGAGGCCGCCGAAGGCCCCGACGTTCTCCGCCGGCCATGCCGGGGCGTCTCTCCTTTGGCGGCGCCAGGGGTGGGGGCACCCCCTCCGTCAGAGCAGAAACGAACGTGCCCTTGAGCAAAAGTGGCTGCGGACATGGTTTCGTAGATTTGTGCCTTTGCGATCCCCCTTTGGGGGGCTCTGGGGGCTCTCGTGGGCGTGAGAGGGGGTTGCGGGTGGCGTGCGTGGACTCCTCTCTGGATTTTTTCTGCAACGTCCGAATCCCTGTGTTGCGAGATCTGGGTGTTGCAATTTTTCCATACTGGGCGTTTTCGCCCGGTTCCAGGCCCCGGGGTCCTCACAGACCGATCCGGGTTGGAACATGTCGCAGGAAGGTGGGGCTTGTGGCTTTGGTCGTGATTTGTCTCAATGTCGTATCGTTGTTTCGCTGTATCGGATCTCAGAGTAATGGCCCTTCCCCATGGTGACGTTGGGTGCCGTCTGGATGTTTTCATATTCGTCCGTTCCTGGAGGTTCTCTTGCCTCGGGATGGTTTGCAGCAGCTCCGCCTCGCCGAGAGCATCCCAGGCTCGGTGCCCGCATCGTCCCGAAGGGCTGCTGGCAGACCGAGCTGTGGCCCGAAAGCCATGTAGGAGGGAGGGAGTCGGCTGTGCGTGGGATTCTCCGAGGTGACCTTTCTTGGCCCCGGCCCACAGGATTGGCACTGGCTTCCGAGTTTAGGCCTGGCCTCCCTGCGGCCCCCTCGAGTCGCGCACCAGCGGTCACCTCCTGCATACAGTGGAGACCCATGTCAAGAAACACCCTGCTCGCCTCCAGGGTGCCCTGAGTTTCTTGGGTGTCGATGGTTTTGCTATGGAAAGCTTGACGTTCCCACACCAAAAATCAATGGACGCCCTGGGGTCTCAGGGTTGGGTTTCTTGTGGAAGGTTTCTTGTGGTCGGGCCCCTACTGTAGAGGTGCGCACCAACGGTCACCTCTTGCATCGGGGGGTCACTCTTTGCGTGTCGCCGGGGCGCGGGGTTCTCGGTCGCCACGGCGTTTCTGTCTGGCGTTCTCGGAGTCCCGGGGCCGTCCCTGGGCCCCGAGATCGTCAACAAACATTGGGCCAGGATGAGAAGTCGACTTTGTGTCGGGGCTTCTGGAGGGCCGCACTGGAAGTTCGGTAGCATATCATGGGAGCCTTGTGTACCCTCGTAATTTTGTCTGCAGCGTCGACTAGCGTCGATTAGCGTCTGTGAGTCGACGGGATAGCGCCGATTTAGCGTCGGTTAGTGTCGATTCGCGCCGATTTAACGTCGACGTAGCGTCGGTTTAGCGCCAACTAGCGTCGATTCGCAAGAGCCGGCAAGATGGTATGAGTTGACACCGAACTGGAAGGAAGGAGATATCGGACGTTTGGGTTTCAGCATGAGGATCGGAGATCGAGCTCCTCGCCGTCTGACCTTCTTGGGAGGGGCCTCATCGCCACGGCCGCACGCGCGGCTTGAAGGGCGGCCTGGGTGGGACCCAGGAGGGGGGCCGGCGGTCGATTAAGGATCGGCGTTGCAGGATTTAGCGTTTTTGGTGGGGGTCTTTTGGAAGGCTTCTCGTCGCGACAACCGGGTTCCCCGTCGAAAGCTTCGCCAGAACGCACCCCTGGAGAGGTCTAGGGGGATAATTTCGGGGCCGAGACGATGTCGACGTCAACGACGGCGACAACAATCAGGATGCCGTTGTTGGCGATGATTGTGCCCGCGTCACGGTGGCGATTGTAATGGTAGTGGCTCTGAGGACGATGGCCATGATGACGACTATGATGACGATGAGGGTCACGACGACGTTGACGACGACGATGAGGATTATTGCCACGATGATGGCGAGAAGGAGGATCAGCAGGAGTACGCTCGACTGTAAAGAGTCCTGAGCAGCACCGCCGCCTTTGCCACTCAAGGCAGCCGGCTCCCTTGGCCGCTGCTTTTGTCCGCGCCGAGCCCGGTCCGAGGTTTGCGGAGGCACCCGTTCGCGCGGCATCACAGCCGCGAAATTGCGGCCCGCCCCACCGCGTGAAGTGGTGTCGACAGCGCGGCTCTCTTGTGGTTAGGGTCTTCCTCGCCCCCAGGAGGAAGGGACTACTTGGGGGTGGGGGGACGAAGCGAAGCAGCAGGAGGAGGAAGGTGGGAAGAGGAGGGAGTGAAGAGAACACAAAAAGGGGAGGGGGAGGAGGCGGAGAAGAGGAGGAGGAGGAGGAGGAGGAGGAAGAGGAGGAGGAAAGCCAGGGGCCGAGGAGGGGCGGGGCCGTCGTCGCCTTCGTCGGTCGCCCCAGTCGGCCTGGGCTCGCGCGCAGCGGGCCATGGGCGCCGCAGGCGCGGCGGCAGGAGCCGCCACGCCCCGCGAAGGGGAACCTGCCTGGCACCGCCGCGCCCGCCAGGTCAGAAGCCAGGATCGGCTTCTAGTCCGACTGGCGGCCGCCGCCAGCAGGTTGGAGCAGCACCGCAGTGCGCAGCAGCCCCAGCGCCACCAGCAACACGTGATGGCGAAGCAGGGCCGATGGAAAGGATGGCAGGACCAAAGGGGCACGGCTGAAAGGAGGACAGGAGCAGGGTCCTCATCTGCCGCTTGCCCAGGCCCTGCCGTCGGCGAAAAACCTTACCCATGGAGATCGCAGACCTGGAAGTGGAGGACTGGATGGAGTTCGCGCCGATCGTCTTCTAGGAAGAGGCAGCATCCGAAGAAGTGGGCCCAAGGAGGCCAATCGAAAGACTACGTAAAGATCGACCCGATCAGCTACTCCAGGAAACAGCAGGACACCATCGGCAGCATCTTGCAGGTGACGAAGGCGCACGCTCAGACCCACGAGAGCTACGGCGAACCTCCAAGGGATCCAGTTCTACGACGCATGTGGACTCACACAAAGCAGCACAGACTTGCACGATTGGCTGATCAAATCGCATGGGCTCGCGCCGCCAACGTCGACGACAAGAAGTTAACCGAAGAGGCCGCAGGAACGAAAGCCATGATCGCCCTGATCGACCGGCCGCTCGTGAGGTTGAAGAATACAGTGAAGAACTTGAGACAACCAACGCAAGACAAAAAATCCTGAGCGCCGAGATCAAGACCCGCACCAAGGAGGAGAAGAAGAACGGCAGCCACATCAGCCAGCTGAAAGAGATCATCGCGGAAATCAGGCAAGAGCAGCAAGATAACGAAGAATCTGTCTGCCACGCCGACTCCGAGGAGGAAAGCGACGAGAAGACCACGGACATCGGCAGACGACAGAAGACACCCTTCAGGCGAATGAGTCGGGAGCCACATCGACCTCGATCCAGCTCCCCAGCCCCGTCGGCGAACGCTTCATCATCAGCATCGGCAGCTACCAAAGACCAGGACATCGTCAAGCTGATCAGTGCGTTCAACAAAAGGATCAAGACCCAGGAGAAGGCCACGAAGCTGCACCAAGAGACCTTCGAGACTGCCGCCTACAACCAGCGCCACCTGGAGTATTTCCACCACGAGCAGGCAATCGCGAGGAGGCCAGAGCTTCAAGTCGAGGAGCTGACCAGGAAGCTGCACGAATGCCAGGTATACCACCAGAAGAAGATCCAGAGGCACGAGCAGATGTTATCCCAGAGGGCCGCCGATGCGACCAGCAAGGCTATCCAGCGCAACGAAGCGGCCCGCCAGCAGAACGCCAACCGGCTCCAACGCGAGAGCGCCCGGCTCCAGGAGCAAGCGAAGGCCATCAAGTTTGACTACGAGCCAAAGCGAAGGAATAGCGAGATGAAGCAAGAGCAGGCCTACAGCATGCTGAACGACATTCGCGCCGAAGTTGCCGCGGTCAACCAGCTCGCCCACTCCACGAAAGAAGGCCGGGAGCGCCAAGCGCTTCAACGAGGACGCGACCGACTCCAGGAAGAAGGCCAGCGGATGCAAAAGTACGCCGTGCAGTTCATGTTGGAGGAGAAGGCCGCTCACACTTGGGCGATCCAGGAGATGGCCAGGAAAGACGAGCTCGCCGAAGAAGCGGCTGCAGCCAGGGCCAAGTTTCGCCGCGAGGAGCAGCGGCAGGAGGCCATCATCCAGCAGCAGACCGCCATTGCAGCGCAAGAGGTTCTGGCGGCCAACAGCTCAATCATCGCCGAGCGCGAGATCGTGCGCCAGCGGGCCGGGCACCTGATGGAGGCGCAGAGGTGCCTGGCCAGGAAGTTCGACGAGCTAGAGCTGAAGGAGATGGCCTACGATAGCGCTGCAAGGCGCCAGGAGTTCATCAAGGCCGAGACCTACCGCTCGGAGGAACAGCTCAGCTACCAGACCGAGCACGACCAGCAGGGAAGAGACCAACAACTAGAGAAGCACAGACAATTCGAAGCCGAGCAACACGCCCGCCGACAGCAAGCAGACGCATAACTTCAGGCCGCCCTTCGCCAGCGACACCAGCGAGCAGAAGTGCGCCAAGAGCTACTCGCACGACAGCAGGAAGAACAGCGAGTGCGCCATCGCCTACGGGAGAGGACCTTCAGGGAGCAGCCCGAAGGGACAGCCCCGAAGATCAACATGACCACGCTCGACTGCGTCGCCAACGCCTTCGCCGACAACCCTGAGAGCGAGAAGACGCGAGCCCGGGCGATGGAGGAAGAAGCCCACCAGCACGCCGATTTTATGGCTTCCCTGCACGCGATCGCCCCCGCGAGCGAGTTCGACTGCGTCAAGGAGCACGAGGCCTACTGCGCCGAGCTCACTGCCCAGGAGGAGCCGCCGAGAACTACGACGCGACGACAGCGGACCTCGCCATCAAGTTTTCGGCATCGTCACGCGGCCTGGATTCGCCGTTCTTCTGCAGCCACTGCGGCTCTCGCGGGGAGTTCACCAGCTGCCAGGCCGAGATCATCCGACGCAGACACTGCGGCAGCAGGATATCACCGACCGCTCCGACCAGAACGGCCACAACGGCATGCAGCCGCAGCCGCCCACAGAGCAACCGCCACCTCTACCTCCACCAGCATCGCCGGCGACCTCATCACCATCGCCCCAGCGTTGCCATCGCCTCCGCCTGCCAACCATCGACCTCGTCACGCCATCTCAAGCATCGGCGACACCCATAGCAGGAGTGCCGACGCCCATCGCTGGAACACCGACGCCCA